AATACTTCTGATGCATGTCCTGAAAGTTCTACCAATCTAGTTGTAAACTGGTTTTGCAGATTATGTCAATTAAAATCTTCTTCACCTAATATTACTCTTGCTAATTTGTGTATTCCTATTGGCAGTGACCATGAGATATTTTCTTCATTTATTTTTTTTGTCTTGATTACTGCAAGCACTTTGTATTTAGATCTTTTAATATATTTTACTTGGGCTTCTTTAATACTTCTGCACATATAATCTACTTCTTCTGTGTTAATATTAGCTGGCAAATCTCATATCATTAGCAGTAATCCTATTTCTGACTCATTTTCTATTACATAGATTTCTTCATTATTTTCTTCTTCCTTCTGTCTCTTAGTTTCTTTGAGTTTTTTTTTTTTTTCTTCTTGTCTTTGTATACTTGTTGATTTTGTTTTCTTTTTTGGCTTTCTTGTTCTTCTGGAATAATTTTAAGCTATTCATCTTTTTTCTCTTTAATTTTCTCTATTACTGCATCTTTGCTAAATTCACAGTTGAAGTTCACCTCTACCTAATTATTCTCATTTTTTAAAACCTCTTGAATTGATTTAATGTGATGATTTTCTCGAAAAATCCATTAAGCATATTTTACTCTTTCTTCTTTGTTCTCTCCCGGTACTATATATGTTGGTATATTTGCTTTAAATAATTTGCTCTTGTCACATATACAATTTCTTGTTGACCACTAACTTTGCTCTATCATGTCTGTTATTTTTGAAGTTTTTTGGCTTTTTTCTTCTGCTTTTAGTTCAGTAATTTTTCTGTCTATTTCTTTGATGTCTTCTTTAAGTTTATATATTCTATTGTCAATTAGAGAATCTTAGCTTTCTTTATCTATTTCTTCCTTATTGTTGTTTTCATCTCTTGCTGTGCTTTGCAGTTTTCTTTTAGTTATATTTTAAGAAATTCTAAGCTTTGGTCATTGTATAGCTAAGATGCTTAGGTCTTTTATTTGTTCTATAACTTCTTGCAAATCTTGAGTTATTTTCTTTTCTTTATTGTTGTTTTCTTTATTCTTCTTTTCTATATTCGATGCTAGTTTTGTTTCTTTGATTTCTTTTGTCTTTTCTGTTTTCTCTAGTTTAATTTTTTTTTTAGATATTTCTCTCTTATTTGTGTTTTCTTGGTAGCTGAATGTCCCTAGGTTTATGTCTATTGTTGCTAATTTTGTTGTCTATTCTTTTATGATACTATGTGAAACTGTACATACTGCTGCTATTTTAAGTGTTTCTAGAATTTGGCTATATCACAATAGGTCATTTGATGTTATATTTTTTGGATCATAGACCACTAGATCTCTTGCTATATACTTTAAGTTGTCTGGCTTATTTATCAGTTTTGATAAGATTAAATCTAGTATTTTGCTATCTATATATCTTCTATTTCTATTACCAAAGCCTCTAATATGTTGTATCAGGCTTGTGTTACATAATAGCCTCAATCTTGTTTGTACCTCTGTTTCTAGACTTTTCTGATGTTTATCTATCTGCTTGCTATATATGCTATACTTATCTATTGTTTTCTAATTGGGCTGATTCTTGTTGTTGTTTGGTATAATGTAATGTATTGCTTTGTTTTTGTTTATTTTGTATATTGGTCATGTGCTTCTAATTTGTTTTTCTGGATCAAACGCTATTTTTCAATTTTCTCCCAAAATTTTCCACAAAAGTTTTGAAAACCAACAACAATTTTATTTGACAAAACTTTGTTTATATTGTTGTTAAGACAAAGTAGTTGTGTTTTGTTTGCTGAGTCTTTTTCTTTAGTAGTCCAAGTAAAGTTTGTCAGACCGTTTTTATGTTTTTCTATGTGTTTGCTTTTAGCCTTGTTTGAAAATTTAGAATCAGCAGAGAGAATGTGTAATGAAAATTTTGATAATAATAATAATAATAATAATAATAATAATTTTTTTTTTTTTTTTTTAACTTTGGCAACAATGTCAGTTGGTTTTTATTAGCCTTAATTTGATATAGTACAAATTTATAGTTATATTTTTAGGATCGATTATTACTAGTACTATATACTATTTAATTTAACATTATTGACTTCATCTGGTTACCCTTATGGCACCTAAGTGCATGTTCATCACATGCTTGCATGCAGTTACCTTGGAAACCACTTGTGGTCATGGCATATATTAAACTACTATACAGACAAGAATATCTACTAAACTTAATGCAGCATCCCAAATGCCAGAAGTACTGTCTTCTGTAAATCATATCTATATATCCTACTCACATGTTTTACCTGGTCTTGTTTCTTCTACCTCCTAATCTAACTATATCTTGTTTCTCACATTTCCTACTTTTTCATCACTGTATCACTCCCAAATTGGTTCTACTCAGGTATGTTTGATCCTTATGATCTTTCCATCTTTGGTTTGCCTATTATTGATTCCTCTAAGATGTTCTGATAATGGTCCAGGATTTATAATGAAACTGTATCTCAAGCCAGATTTGCTGTCATTATTGGTCTTTTGACTAATTTGTATTTCAAGCCAAATTTGCTGCTACTGTTTCTGCAGTTACCCTAGGTCTTAACATCATACAGTAACTTGATGCTATATTTAACTTTCAACATGGTGCTTTTTTTTATAATAGAGACTGGAACTTGTTGTACTTACAAATAAGACAATTCTGGTTATATCTAGAAGTTCCTCCAACCCTAGTGATACTATACTATCATGTATTGCAGGCTCTCAGCTTATTTGACAATACCTGCAAGACAATTCTGATTATCCCAGGGAGTTATACTAACCCCAGTGATGGCATACTATCTTGCAGATCTTATCTCATATTGGTTAGTTGATTTCTAGTCTTGTTCGTCATAGACTTCTATATAGATACAACCAGAATCTGATTTGGTACTTTTACATTATATAAGGAAGTTATATGCCTATCTCCAAGATCTTCCCTTCTATAATTAGATTATTTAGCTATATCAGAGATGCTTCTAATTTTGGTTAAACCAATTCTTTATCACAGTTCATTCTCGTGTTCACTGCTTCTCTCACTATTTCAGTTTTGGTTACTTGTCAGACTACTCTCCTAATTAAATTCTCTTCTTAGATTCTAATTAAAACTTATTTGTACAATCTATTGATTATCCTTTCAAGCAAGTACTCCACAAGTTGGATGCAGGGATGTTGGTACTGTCTATATTGGAAGGTATAAAGATGTTGGTGTTGCCCTAACCTAAAGAACTTACATGTGCAATCTTTTTATAACTATAACTTTTGTAACAACTACTTGTTATGCATAGTGCCTGCACTTCATGATTGGGTCTCCTTTTGGGAATTTCTATTTTCATCATTGTATTGCACTTGGACTTAACCACAGGGCTTCGCATTTAATTACAGGCTCCTTATTAGGTTACAGAAGTTAAAATCTTTCAATTTTGCCTTCAGTCAGACTTAAACCGTTAACCTTGACTGTGGAAGGTATGGAAGCTTAACTGCTAAGCTATGGAACCCACACTCTATAATAATAATAATAATAATAATAATAATAATAATAGTAATAATAATAATAATAATAATAATAATAATAATAATAATAATAATAATAATAATAATAAAAAACTAATCAAATTATCTAATTTTGTATTATCTAGACAAATTTTAATTGACTTAGGCAAACTTTATCATATATACAAGTATATTTTTTTAAGATAATATAATAGTTCAAAATTTTACTATAATAGATAAATAATTTTATTTATATTATAAAATTTTTTTATTAATTAATTAAAAAATAAAAAAGGTTTATAATAATATATTTTGTAGTTACTATATAAAATTTTTTTTGCAACTAATTATATATAGAAATGATCTACGTTGTACTCTACCCTTAAACTAAATAACAAAATTCTGAGATCTAAAACACTTAGAACCTAGCTCCGAAGCATCGCCCGGGCCTGAGAGCTAGTAGAAATCTATTTTTAAAATGTCAGGTTTTCACTTGGCGGCACCCATATAATAATTGTCATTTAGCAAAGATATATATGCTTTATTATATAATCGATTATTATCGAAATCAAAAGCTTATCGAATCGGTCAAACAATTATTCGGTCAATTTTTGTATGAAAACAGCTGTAAACCAAATTTTTTTTTACAGGTTTTCGAGTTTTGATCTGGCCAGTTATGAAAATCAATTAATTTTGCATGGCCTAATTTATCAAAAATTTTTTTGATAATTTACATATATGGGGTGCCTCATATTAAAAAAGCCTGTTTGTGAATAGCTAGTGCTGGAATTTGGACCTACTTTGATATGAATTTTGCAATTTTTTAGTGTTTTTTAAATAATTAAAGTGTATCAGCATCAGCGGCGATAAAAAAAAAATTTATATCGATATGTTTCTATTTGAAGATTGGGCCCTTTTAATACGATATAATTTTAGACATCTTGTATAGTATAGTATGTATATAAAGATCAATAGAATAGAATAATAAACTTGAGGCTTTCATACTGCAAAACATAAATTACATAATAGTAATTGAAGTATCAATATCAGTCTGCTCGTACAAAATACTAATGCTAAAGATTTAGAAAAAGAAAATATGTATGCGCTATATAAAAATTATTTTGAGTTAAAAACCTTTTTTAAAAAAGAATAAATTTTTCAAAAAAAAAACCTGACAATTTTATTTCTGCTTTTTTTCTCCACTATGTTTAAACCGTCTCTAAACAGATCCAACACCCCGGTATATCCGCACAACCGTTAATAACCGATATGGAATGAATTTCCATTTGCTCATATTAAAAATTCCATCAACAATTCATTTTTTATAACAGTAATGATTATTTGCTATGTAAAATTTAGCTTAATCATTTTGCCGCGGATCCAAATTTCTCGAGACCATATTCTCAAAATAATAAATATAAATAATATATATGAATGTAGATACATTATTAATTTACATGCTAATGATACAAAACTATATAAGTCTATACTAACTGTATAAATTAAGAATTTATCACTCTAAAGGGCCTACATAGCTCGCAGGAAATTGACCTGTCACTCCGTTCAATGTGCCTATTATATTGCAAAAAAAGAAAAAGTATTGATTCATTACTAATAAGCAATGGTTGCACAATTAAAAATAACTAAGTATGTTTATACTATGAAAGACTATGTCGTCTGAAATCAAGCAAATTATTTTAGTGAATTTTTTAATCAAATTTGACAAAAATTTTAAATTAATTCTGAATTTATAGAATTTATTTAAAAACTCTTATCAAATTTGATTAAGTTTTTCTAGTTCAAAGTTTTAAGAAAATTTGACTATAAAAAATTTGCTTGATTTCTGTTAACTCACTCCATTTATTCCAATAAACTAGGATCGAATACAAACAATAAACAAAATCTTACCTTCCCACCATCCTTCATCAACATCCCGATTTGTTACTAATATTACGTCTCCTTCTTTTATCGATATTTCTTCAGGAGACTGCGCAACGTAGTCGTACAGTACTTTTACTAATATATACGTATATTTATGTTTATGTTTGATTATATAATCTGATACTAAATCAAAGAAATTAGAGTCAAGAAATACCATAATCGCTACTATCCGATGTTTGATATTCAGCTTGATATTCAATATAAGATGCTGGAACCAATCCATCTTGCCCATTATGTAATGCCTTAAGATAAAATATAATTATAATCTGATTAAACATATTTGATAGATTTGATACCGATTATAATTGTAAATGTGATCCTACCTTGACCCATCCGGTTCCGTCTATTATGAAAAATAATTTTATTGATACAAGCTGATAAATAAATAAATAAATATAAATACGACAAAATTACATTCATTACCATCTGGCTCTATAACAGTGATGACGTCACCAGTAGTGACACTCAATTCATCATTACTGTCAGCAGTATAGTCATACAAGACTGTTGCTATCCATGTCTCTCCTTCTTCTTTATCATTTGTTGACGAAGATGACAGATTTGAAATGGTTTTATCCATAACGCGATTATGAGCACCTGCCCCTATTTGAATCTTAATTAATTCTCTTGAAATAACAATTTGTAACATTCTTCTGACAAAATGGATAACTACCAGATAAGGTTCCCCACGGAGATACGATGTTTGAAAAAGTCCCGCTTGTTATTGTGCCACGTTTAAGCTCTCCTTTCCTCTTTGTACAATTTGGAGGCACCTTCATTTCGCATTTTGCATGACAATTATAGCCACAATCTATTTAATAAAAAATAAATTTTTAAATACCATAATAAATAATACAACTACATGGTATATAATATCACATAATCAGTACCTTTACACGTAAATCCTTGTTTCGCTATGCCCCAAATTGTATTCTGGCATAAATCACATGTTGTTGGGATAGTAAATGCGGCATTTTTAAAATTATGACTCTGTCCATCTGTTTCACTATCTTGATATTATGTGATATTATGCATTATATTAATTTTTATAATTTGCATATATAATACATATCAACAACATGTACATGTAAATTACCCCCTATGACTTGTATAATGGAATCAACTTCTGTTTGACAGGTTTTTCGTAAAGTTTCTAAGATGGTGACTTCTCGAATTGCCTCGTGTAAATTCTAGAATTTTGCATAATTAATCACTTTATTTGATCACAAATAATGGAATAATTCAATTGATTTCCTTTTACCGTACATCAGTAACAGCATCGAAATCACCTAGTTTAGGATTATTTTCATAAGCTTCTTTTAACGATTTCAACCCAATAATTTGTTTCCTCTTTTCTTCTATTGTTAAAATCAGATTTGGTAGTTTGCGTCCGGATTTAGAAAGCTGATTATTCAGAAACACGTGTGTGTTTTCATCACTAACAAATTCGCCCTTTCGATTAATAATTAAAATATTAAAATAAATAATTATGACATTTGAATATTTAACGTATATAATATTGCTTACTGTGTCTGTAAATGTTGGAGAAGACATAAATACAAAATCTGGTGGATCTTTCCAACTTTTTTCGTTATACTTTATAAATAATTGCGAATCTGTACGAGCGTCAGTCTTTTTTATGGTTTGACAAGCTAAATCCAAGTGTGTTTTGGAATCTCTCAATACATTCAACTCAAGATCCATGTATTCATTCCATATTTGCTTCATAGCATAAATTCTACTTTCATTAAGTTCTTGCAATAGCTATAAAACAAAGCTGATATCTTAAAACTTATACATAATATAAGCGTAAAATATATACAATACATACATCGATAAGAGCAGGTAAGTCCTCATAATAATATTTTTTCTTGTGTTCATTCGCTCTTATGATTGATAATATATACATATTCTATGCAATCAAAGAGAAACATGTTATAAAAAATCTGGTTTTACGTGATGATTATAATATCATTATTTACTTACTTTGCTATTATTCATCTCAACAACATCATCTAATGTTTGTTTACGTAACTAAAATATAAATGTCATTTATATATCAAGAATGTATATGGTAATTTTCACATAAAAAGTACCTTATCCAATATTCTTTCATCTGGTGCACGTTCTTGTTTTTGTTTTGAAGATTGTGCTTCTACACAACATTCATAATAGTGTTCTTTGGCCTGAATTTTTATCATACGAATATTTATAATATGCAAACTTATTCATTTAAATAGTATTAAATGATAAAAATTTATCATATCTGCATACTTTCTGCATTTCATTAAATATCTTGTCTCTATCGGATTTCAGTTTTTGAGCAAACATAATATGCTAAAAAAAAATATATTCAAAGATATATATTGTTTAACAATAATATGAAAATAAATAAGGTAAATTCTTATAAAATAATAAACCTTCTTTCGCGTTTCTTCTTTTTTTATAGCTACTGTTTTAACTCGTTCCATAATAACTGTTGATAACGATTCTGAAAATTTGAATCTTTCTTTTGCGACATTTTCGGTTTCTTCAAGGATAGCTGTCCATGCATTCAAAAAAGTACTAAAAGTATATAGATCAATTTAGGAAAAATCATTTAAGAAAAAAAAGGCTTCATACCATTTTTAAAGCTTACCCAGGATCTGATTTAGCATCATTGAAGTCTTTTTCCGATAAAGTGTTGGCAACATCACCAACAGACATGGAGACTGCTTTTTTGTCCTTTTTTGTAGAGTATTTTTTTGCAAGTGCTTCAATTTTACTTGCATACTCTTTTTCTATCTGAGCTCGTTCCTTTACGAAATCTCGGAACTCATTTAAAAATAGTATACCATTTTGAACGAATTGACTAATGGAGGTAACTTGATCCTACAAGAACTGTGTCAAACGATAATGGCTAATAAATTAAGAACATTTTGGTTAAATTAATACCTTTAATTCCGATCCGAAACTCATACTTATTTTTCAAGAAATATTGCTTGCAAAATGATTAGTATTTGCTTGTGGAAAGTTGTTTAACTTTGTAAAGACAGGATCTTGACAAAAGCTTTAAGGGAGGAAGACACGTTTCACGTATCCCGTAAATTTTATCCCTGATTTCGAATGTTCTTATAACACATGATCATTTGATTATCTCTTGTCATGTGCAAATATTAATTTAATGCCTAAAGCTTATGCATAAATAAAAAAATTTTGAAAAAAAAAATTGAAATCACTCTCTTTGATCAACTATGGTAAATTTAATAGCATTATTTTCTTTTTTTTCAAAAAAAAAATTCATCCATCGAAGATAAATTATCAATTAGATTAATGAATTTAAAAAAAATTAATAAACTTTTAAAGAATATGCAGTTAATTGATGCTAAGATCTAAAGTTTCGACAATCTCATTTTTATCGAAAAAAAATTCTATTATATAGACTAAGGGTACCTCAAGCTTTGGTAAACGTCATACAAAGACCCACACCTTGTGCCGCCGATGCGGTAGGCGTGCTTTCCATAATCAAAAGAAAACTTGTGCTCAATGTGGGTACCCTTCCGCAAAGACCAGAAGCTGTTAGTAATTAAATTTTATATTTTATCGTTATTTAAAATTTGAATTTTGTGAAGTTAATTATCCTCACTTTATTTCGCAATGATATTGCATAAAACTTATTAAATTTTCACTCAAAAGATATTACCTAATTAATTTTCAAATAGATAACTGGAGTGAAAAAGGTAAACGCAGAAAAACTACCGGTACTGGTCGCATGCGATACCTAAAACATGTATCTCGGCGTTTCAAGAATGGTTTTCGAGAGGGTAATTAAATTATCAATATTATTGGTTTTTACATAAATTTAAAATGAATTTAATATTCCATCGTTCTTTATAGGCACCGTGCCGAAATCGAAATCCAAACCTTCTGCTGAATGATAAGATTATTACGTAGTTTGGGTTTGGGAATCGGAATTTTTGCTTGGTGTGATCATGATGATTTTTCAGTTATTATTTCAAATGAAAGATCCAATATGTTTCTTAATTTTTTTAATCTTTTATCACCGAAATCTAAATATATCCATTCTCGGTCAAGTGTAAAATTCAAAAACTAATAAAATTTGTTTGCTACGTATAAATTATTAAAACTTTTTTTTATCTTCAATTTAAGAATTTACGAGGAATTTAATAGTGATATATCACAGTAGATCTAATAAATTAATTACCCGTGACTTGACTAATAAATAATTGCTTAACTTAATGTTAACGTTAATAAAAAATTTACCTTATAGACATTTTATATTTTTTATTATAAAAATTTAAATTTAAAATTAGAATATAATTAAAAACTAAAAAAAAAAAAAAAACAAATATAAAGAAAAACAAAACCAAATATAAAGGTTAAATTTTGATTGATATAAGGTTTTTGGAGGTTTTTTAAACATTTTACTTAATATTTCTGATTTTAAAATATATATACGTGCAAATTTTGCTATACGTACATCAAAAATTTTTGAATTTATAAATAATTTATGACCTTTTTTTTAAGGGTAGGGGGCATGTCGATCATTTTTCATATAAACTCGATGGTATTTTTTTTCGTGTAACACACGTGGAAATCGAACACCTGA